AACTTTGGATACTTAATCGGACACTAACAATGACTATGGCATATAAAGAAAATCTTTATAGGACGTTCTACAGATGGCATCTCCCTCCAGCATGGCTCTCCAAAAGGTTTAAAAATCTGGTCCCAAATTGTTGGAAGTGTAAAAAATATAAACACCAGGTGCTTTTTATCATATGCGTTGGATGTGCAATGAGGCCAAATGATATTGGAAAACGATTCAATCGTGGTTGGAACAAATGTGTGGGAGACCAAATCTTGTTTCAACCGGAAATTTTTCTCCTAGGCGTAATACCGGAGGGGTTTAAGAAAGATGCACTTTATCTAATTATACATGTACTAACGACGGTGCTCATAACTTATGCAGAATATTGGAAAGAAGAAAATACACCATCGGAGCTAGATATAATCTGCGGAAGCAGATAGGCTCCCTCTTGAACTTAAAAATAAAGGGGAATCGGAATATTTTGAAGTCTGGAACAGATTTTATGATTGGTATAAGGCAAGGGGAGAAGGCTGGAATAAACTGTATATAATATTGTAGTTGGACAGAAGGATAGACAATGTATTAAGTAGGCTAATTGTTAATGGTTGAGACTAGCCGTATGTAATGTGAATGTATGGTCACTTCGCGGTACGGCATTGTTTTAAACGTAAAAATAATAAAAATATATTCCAAAAATTATAAAAACTCAGGGGTGGAAAACACAACGTGGCTTTTGTGAAGCGCTTGTGGGCGCCAGGCAAACACAACTGGACAATTTCTCTCGTTTCAGATACCGACGAATGCAACGCCGGGTCTCACTGCTGTCAACAAGGGTGTTACAACTACCCCGGGGGTTACGAGTGTGTTTGTTACGCCGGCTACCTGCTCAACCCCACGGGTTGCGGTTGCGATGGTAGGTTTGAGTCGCAGAATCTCAGAGGTCCTCTAGTCTGACACCCTTTTTCCCGTGCGGGAACCAGCCTGTATCTCATCCGAAAGTCCTTCTTTTCTTTGGATCTTTCCTCCCCCTCCCCTCTTTTGGTTTATTTCCCTCCCCAGATGTGGACGAGTGTTCGGCGAATAACGGGGGCTGTGAACATTTGTGTCGAAATCTGGTCGGCTCCTTTCTCTGCAGCTGCCGGATTGGGTTCAAATTAGGCGAGGATCGCAGAAGCTGCCTGGGTGAGTGAGGATTTCCACGCAGCAGGGGCAACCGGGGGTTCGCGAGTTTGGGTGGGGATGTGAAAATCTCATATTCAGAGGGTAACCGAAGGGATTGTTTTTAAGGGGCCGCTTCAGGCTGGGTTTTGTGTCTTTCGCTCTGCACATGTTTCTAGTCCTCTCTGTTCCCACCTTTTTTATGGGACAATCGCTTGGAGGGGTTTGCGCTCTCTCGCCATAGACCTTGAGGAGCCCACGGAGGCCGTGGATGGACGGCGGCCCGTGATCCGTCCTCTCCCCCACGTGGCTCTTTTCCACGATGGGCTGACCCCGTTTTTGGAGGAAGACTACGAGGATGAAGAGGGGGAAGGAGCCGAGGCCAGAGGAGAGCACACCGTCGTGGAGAAGTTCAGTATGTGAAGATTCCTTCCTTCCTTCCTCCCTCCCTTCTTTTCTTACACCTCCTCCTCACTTCCTTTCTTCTCTCCCATTGTTCCTTCCTTCCCTCTCCTCCTCTTCCATCCCTCTCCTCCTCTTCCATCC